CTTTCGAAGACGAGTTTCCAACTTCCGACATTACATATCGTACAACATATTATAGATTTTGGAGGTTTATATAGGGGTATTCCTCCTACTAATGCTTGAAATATATATTTTGCCTACGGAAAATATTAATGCTGAAATATGTGTTTGTCGAAACCTATTTATATAGGCAAATACTACAAGAAATCACGTGCAACACGTTAACAAAATGTCATGGCTATTATCTTTGGTTTAAGTAACATACGTCACGAAAAAAGAGTTAGTTTCGTACAAGAAAGAACGTCAAATTCGCCACATCAACCAGTAACGGTGAAGGCAATAGGGTTAACGAACAGGGTTAGAAAGTTGTGAGGGGTTTAAGAAAGATTTAATGCTAGACTGGGAACAGCGAATACAGATGTCGGGATGCCAAACTGTCTCGTGTACTCTCATAAACAGGGAGGTTTATACAGCAACGTTAAGAGTCAAAAACTCGAAATAAGCGTTATTTATCACCACAAAACATTTTAATTGTTGGAAGCCAAGTACGATAAGCTTATTGCGGTTACATCTTTGTTTTTACCATACCAGAGGGTTAGTTATTTGAGAGGCCCCGACAAAGGGCATGTCGCCGATCTTCTGATATAAAACACGTAAAAAAAAAGAAACTTGAAAGAGAACTTTGGCATGTCACAGAGAAACAAGGCGTTCCGAAACGTTATTCGAGAACTCTACAGAGTGTAATCATTACAGGAAGATGGTGTAAGTTTTCCGAAAACAGCTGAAAATGGGGATCTAATGTGTAAACTCTACGCGAATATTCTTTACAAGTTTGTAACAGTTTAACAGTATCCGTATTTTTGTGCACAAAAGATAGCTGGTGCCAGACATTTCGTTCTCTTGTTTCTGAAACGGTAAACGAAACATAACATTTCACGTTTAAAACGTGGCCAAAATATATATTAATTTAACAAAATTGTAAATTTTTATTCTGTTCAAATAAAGACTGTGTTTTATTGCATTCTCTTGTCTCTTTATAAAATGTTCTTTCTTTCTAAACTTTATGTATGATAAACGAAATATAGCATTTCAGGCTTCTAAAGTGGCCAAAATAAATATTAGCAAAATTACATATACGTATTCTGTTCGAGTCCAAATTTGTCTGCAATAAAATCTTCTTAATTATTTTAACGTAAAACTTATCTATCACCCCCCCCCCCTCAGGTCAATGTCAAATGTTTTAGTTTGGTTTGGTTTGTTTGGAAGTTCGCGCAAAGCTACACGAGGGCTATCTGCGTTAGCCGTCCCTAAATTAGCAGTGAAAGACTAGAGGGAAGGAACTAGTCATCACCACCCACCGTCAAATCTCGGGCTACTCTTTTACCTACGAATAGTGGGATTGACCGTCACCTTATAACGCCCCCACGGCTGAAAGGGAGAGCATGTTTGGTGGGACGGGAATTCGAACCCGCATATTGCGAGTTGAGCGCCCTAACCACCTGGCCATGCCAGGCCAAATGTTCTAATACTTCTAAAATGCAATCTAATCTTTCGTTAGGTACGTGCTTCGTATAATTAACCCGTTTTTTAGACTATTTTTCAAGCCTATGTGATCTGAGAACAATTAACTCAGCACAAGGTTCTGTCAAAATTGAACGAGTGCATCACTAACTGTTTGACAATCATATATATATAATTACAAATCATTTTTTATGTATACACAAATTACTACTGACAACACATTACCTTCTGATACGGTCCGTGAACTCGTAAACAAACGATATAAAAAATGTGTGTGTGTGTGTTTATGCAATAATTATAGGCTTAACATTTCCAAAATCAGATGATTTGAGAATGATGCGCAAGAAGGATCGAGTTACTCCTAATTGTAATTTACGAGTAAACAATGTTTAAAGGCTTACATTATTGTTGAATTATTCTTAATATCAAATAACAAGTAATCTATCTTTAGAGGCTTACATTATTGTTGAGTTATTCTTAATATTAAATAACAAGTAATCTATCTTTAGAGGCTTACATTATTGTTGAGTTATTCTTAATATTAAATAACAAGTAATCTATCTTTAGAGGCTTACATTATTGTTGAGTTATTCTTAATATTAAATAACAAGTAATCTATCTTTAGAGGCTTACATTATTATTGAGTTATTCTTAATATTAAATAACAAGTAATCTATCTTTAGAGGCTTACATTATTGTTGAGTTATTCTTAATATTAAATAACAAGTAATCTATCTTTAGAGGCTTACATTATTGTTGAGCTGCTCTTACTGATAATTAACGAGCAGTCTATGTATATTGGCTTATTGTTGAGTTATTCTTAATATTAATTTATGAGTAATCCATGTCTAGTGGTTTACATTATTATTGAGTTGTTATTAATATTAAGTGCAAGTAATCTATCTTTAGAGGCTTACTTTATTGTTGAGTTATTCTTAATATTAATTTACGAGTAATCGATGTCTAGTGGTTATTGTTGGATTGCTTGTTTATTTTCTATTATTTATGAAGAAGCTACCCAAGGACTACCTGAGCTAGCTATTCTTAATTTTGAACTAATAGATAAGAACAGTTATTCCAAACCTTTTTTTTTTTTGCGAGACAGCTGAATTAATTTTGTTAAACTCGGCGAATCACTATGCAACTTACTGCCACTTTATTTCCGTAATGGTGTAACCTTTCCATGGACCACCCGCACACCACAGATTAAGAACCACAGCACCCACCACTAAATGACCATTAATCATAGTGTGGAGCGTGATTTTTTTTTTTGCGGTAACAGGACGAGAACGATAGACCCGTGGATCCATAGTCCGGCACGCTCGATTCTTATTGTTTAGTTGTTCTTACTGCTAATTTACGGGTAATCTCTGCCTAGTGGTTATTGTTTAG